TTTTCCTTTGTTTCTGTTTTATTTAACCTCTTTGTAGCATTGATAACTCTCCTCGTGAAACTCTCTTCTTTTTTTAAAAAAGAGAACCTCATTTTTATTAAAATATACATACAAAAATGACTAATCAGAACTATACGTATAGAAGAATGAATTTTTATGAAGTGAATACTTCTAGTTTTTCTCCCACTTCTCTGGCCATTTCTTTGCAAGGATCTTGGCTACAATCCTCTCTATGCCCCCTATCTTTGACAATTCTAACTAGCTTCAACAATTCTAACTAGCTTCAATATTTTTTTTATGACCTCAAAAATTTAGTTTCTGACCCACTTTATACCTTATGTCCAGACATCATTGTAAGTCAATGATATGGCTTCCTTCTGTTTGCATGATTACTCTGAAATTTGTAACAAAAGCACATAATGTCCCCCTTAGCCTTCGTATATCTAGCTGCGTATAGGCTGTCCAAATCTGGATGTATTATAGGTAGCTCAAATCCATTATGCGCCAAATGAGATTCGTCATTCCTCTGAAGTTATTCTTTCATACATCCTACTTTGTGAATTGTAACACTGGACATCCAGCCTCTCAAACCCCAAACCAAGAAATTATTCTTAATTCCTCACGTATCAAGCTGATTACTCTGAATCTTTAAGTTAATTGTCTCACAGGTGCTTCAGATCCCAAATATCTTAAATTCATCTTTCCTTTCAAACTAGCTCTTCTTATCTGGTGCTTAGCAGTGTTTTCTAAATACCTCTCAGCCAGAAATCTCAGATTCAGGTTAGATTCCTCCCTTTTTCTTATATCCGATTGGGGATCAAGGTAGATTTATGCAGTGCATAGCCTTGTCCATTTCACTTTGTACAGTTTCTGCAGTGCTTCATGTATTATTTCATATCTGTCTGCATTACGTTCCTTGCATTTCAGATGAACATCTTTTGAGGCAAAGGGTTTGTCTTTCTTTTGGAACATATTGAGTGCATGAATAAATTAATAGGGGGTAAATGGAAATAAAGGCAAATGACATGTAAACAGAAAAGTGATAAAATGCATTTAGAGTAGAACATTTGACATGGACATGTTTTAAAATTCTAAAATTTCTCATAAACTAACAAATATGGTACATTTGTGTTTTATCTAGGTCTTAGCTGAATTACTCCAAAAATATCTCTGTAAAGATGGAAAATTATAAGTTTGGTATTATAATGACATTTTACCTTGTTTTGTCAAAGATTTATAAAGTAGTTATATATTTTACTTTATCACCAGGAAATTTCTGTGTCATAGATTATTGTGGTATACTGTCAAAAATAGTCTCTATTAACATCGGTTTTAAGTGATTTTCTTGTCTCCTTTTAATTTTTTACAAATAATAATAGAGAATAATGAAAGCCAGCATTCACTTAAAGAAAATATAGCTAAATTCCAACAAATTAATCATAATAAATTCCAAATATTAGCAATTAATACAAAAATATTTATAAACTGTGCATCAAAATTGTTTTAAGGTTAGCTCAGAGGTTAATTAATGAAGTACATTTTATTTTTATTTGTTTAAAAAACTTGTTTCAATCCTCACCCGAGGATATGTTTATTGATTTTTGTTTTTGTTTTTAGAGAGCAAGGAAGGGAGAGAGGGGAGAGAAACATCCATCACCTGCCTCTTGTACATGCCCTGTTGGGAGATAGAACCAGCAACCTTTTTGGTATATGTCCTGGCGATCCAATCAACCTGACTCACCCAGCTGGGATGAAGTAATTTTTAATAGTATATAATAGAACAATTCTACTTAATTGAAAGAGATGATAGAGATAAATATAGGGAAAATATTGCTGACCCCGGAAAATGTTTTTTTAGGAAAGCGTCTTTTTATAGCACTCTGATACTCTAGTTCTGAGCCAATGTTTGTCATTACCATGGAAAATTATATTTCATAAAAAATATCTGAGATATGTTTTTAATGAAGTCTTAAATTTTTTTTTTTAAATATTGATTTGCGAGAGGGAGAGAGGCAAGGAAGGAGGGAGGGAGAGAGACAGAAGAAAGAGAAAGAGAGAGAGAGAAAGAGAGAGAGAGAGAGAGAGAGAGAAAGAGAGAGAAAAGAAAGAAATGTTGATTTGTTGTTCTACTTATTTATACATTCATTGATTGCTTCTTGTATGTGCCCTAACCAGAGATCGAACCTGAAACCTTGGTGTATCGGGATGACACTCTAACTAACTGAGCTACCTGACCAGGACCTGAGACCTTTTTTTAAACAGTAGTTGCTGAAAAGTAGATCCCAGTTTTTATCACTGATGATTTCTGTTTAAAGACATGATGTTCCTATTATCATTGACAAGAAGCTCAAATTGGACTCTACCCTTGTGCAATTCATGTTATGTAACTTTTCTTGGCTGTGCCCTTACTTGGATGTTTGATTACAGTTTAGAGAGGTATTGCATTAGATAATTGGCCAGATGTGCACTTGAAAATGTGTCTGGGTAGCCAAATATTTGTAGAAACCAACAAACCTAAAGTAAACATGAGAATAGGTAAAGACAACAAAAGTTTGTTTTGATGCTAACAGTTATCTGGGGGAATTGTTTAACCTTTCTTTCTAAGAATTGACATACTTTTTAAAAAACAGTTTGAGACATAATTCACATACCATACAATTCACCCCTAGCCATACATTTTTGTTTTAAATTGAAGAAGCAAAATTAGAATCTATTGAATGTAGAGGTTCAGAATATGTAATCCAAGATGTGCCTCTGTGGTATGCAAATTATTTTGAGCTAAAGGCAACAGGGACTGCGGGCTCAAGAGAACTTTTGCCCACGCTTCTTAACTACTGGAAGAATTTAAATTAGTGGTCTTGCCCATAACAAGAGATAATAAAGGATAACGTTTTTGACCTATCTATATGGCAGAGCAAATTACTAATTACTGAACGACTACTCTTCTTATCCTGTAATGACCTTCCTCCCCTCTGAAGCCCCAAGGTGCCTGACTTCATCCTTAGCTCGGAATGCTATGTCCACCTCATTTTAACTTTCTGTCCCTGAGCCTCTCATGTATGAAATTAAGTTTGATATTCTCCTGTTTATCTGTCTCATGTCAATTTTATTATTTAACTATCCAAAAGAACCAGAGAAAGAAGAGGGAATTTTTTCCTTCCCTCACATGAACAGGACTAGAGAAATTGTTTTTAGATATTATTCTCAACAGCTTTAACAGTAGATTTTGTACTTTTCTCAAACCATTCTCAAAGAACTTTTTAGGTTTATTAGGTGAAGGTGAGGAATTATGGAGATAACACTTGGTCTTCTGGAATAGTATTATGGACAAAGGAACAGGAGGAAAGGGTTTTCTATGTTATTTAGAAATATGTTAACTTTACAGTATTGGAAGTTTCCTAGATAATCTTTTAATATTAATTTATAATTTAATTTTATTGTGGTCCAAGGACATAATTCTTTATTTATTAAAAAATATGTTTATTGATTTTAGAGAGAGAAGAAAGGAGAGGGAGAAAAATAGAAACATTGATGTGAGAGAGAAACATTGATCAGCTGCCTCCAGCACCACCCCTACTGGGGATCGAGCCTGCAACCCAGGCATGTGCCCTGACCAGGAATCAAACTAGCAACCTCTTGTTTCTTGGGCTGACACTCAGCCACTGAGCCACACTGGCAGGGCTAAGAACATAATTCTTATAAATTTAGTCTTCTCAAATTCACTGAAACTTATAGTGCAGACCAGCATATAGTACAGCTTTGTGAACTGAATATTCTTTGTACACTTGAAAGGGATGTGTTAACATAACAAATGTGCAAACATATAGAAAACTTGTATATGACTTTATTTGAGCCAAACTGACAACATATGCCAGGAGCAAGATCTCATGCTTTATACGGTAACAGTTTTGCAGCCTCTCATGCATTTGAAGGAAGGACCTAAGAAATGACGTGGAGGTGGGAAAAGGCACTACAGGAGAGTTAACACGATTATGTGCTGCCCTGGCCAGTGTGGCTCTGTGTTTAGAGCCCCCCACCCCCACCCCCCCGCCTCTCCTCCACCCCCAGCAACACTGAAGGGTCGTGGGTTTCATTCCTGGTCAAGGGCATGTATCTGGATTGCAGGTTCAATTCCTGGCCCCAGTCAGGGTACGTGCAGGAGGCAACCAATCCACGTGTCTCTCTCACATCGATGTTTTTCTCTCTTTGTCCCTTCTTCTCCTTCCCTCCCTTCTACTGTCTCTAAAGTCAATGGAAAAAAATATATATCCTCAGGTGAGGGTTAACAAAAAAATTTTTTAAAAAGAGAGCACATAGCCCTGGTTGGTTTGGCTCAGTGGTTAGAACATTGGCCCACAGACCAATGACTTGCAGGTTTGACTCCAGCCAAGGGCATGTACCTCAGTTGTGGTTCATCCCTGGCCCTGGTCGGGGTTGTGCAGGAGGCAACCAGTCGATGTGGCTCGTTCACTTTGATGTTTCTCTCTGTCTCTTTCTCTCTAACTCCCTTCCACTTTATCTAATGATAAATGGAAAAATATCCTTGAGTGAGGATTAAAAAAATAATAATAAAAATAATAAGAGAGCCGATAATATTTTTGTTGTTAATCCTCATCTGAGGGTATATTTGTTCCCATTGATATTTAGAGAGAGTGGGGGGGGGGGGACATTGATGTGAGAGAGACACATCAGGTTGTTGCCTCCTCCCACACATGCTTGGACAGGGGCCAGGGATCAAACCTGCAACCCAGGTTATGAGCCTTTGACCTGGAACCAAACCTGCAATCCTTCCGTGTGTGGGCCAGTGCTCTAACCACTAATCAACACCGGCCAGGGCACATAATCTTGATGTCTTTCACAGTGCTTGGTATATGGTAGTACACGATATTTAAGTAATGGATTTGACAGTGTCATTGTTGTCAGTAAAGACTCCTTTGAGTATAAAGGATGCCTTATCAATATCACTTTCATTTGTTAACTAGGTTGTTTTTCTCCTATAGGCAAATGTTTTGAAAAAGACTCTGCATGGAAATGGCTTGCCTTACAATGACAGAAATGGAAGGAACATGCACATCTCCTATACATCAGAATGGTGATATTCCTGGAATTGCTGATTCTGTGAAACAAATAGATCCAGTCCTACAGGTGTATCTTTATCATTCCCTTGTGAAAACTGAGGGCGATTACCTGAAGTTTACAAATGGGGAGTATGTTGCAGAAGAAATTTGTGTTGCTGCTTCTAAAGCCTGTGGTAACTATTAAAAATAGTTCTTTTTTCTTTTTATTAATAGATGATTGCTTTAATTATGCTACTCTAATACAATGTACATATATAACATGTTAATTTTTTAATGCTTGTATGGCTGACAGGTGTGTTTTCATATTCATAAAAAGTGAGGACATCACTAGAGTAGAATTTAAGGCAAATATGCCTTGGTCTAGTTCTATAAACTGAATGTTTGTGTTCCCCTTCAAATTTATATTGAAATCTATTCCCCTAGTGTGATGGTATTTGGATGTAGGGCCTTTGGGAGGTTTTCAGGTTCTCAGGCAGATGCCTCCTCAGTGAGATTAGTACTCTTATAAAAGAGACCCCAGAGAGCACCTTTGCCCCTTCTGCCAAGTGAGGACATAGTAAAATGAATCAGAAGATGAACCATCTGTGAGCCAGGAGGGGATCCTCATTAGACACTGAATCTGCCAATGCTTAGATTTTGTATTTTCCAGCCTTTAGAATTGTGAGAAACTCCTGTTGTTTATAAGCCACTTAGTATGGTATTTTTGTTATAGCATTCTAAATTGATTAAGACAAATATTGGTACTGAGAAGTAGGGAGATGCTGTTACAAATACTTTGAAATTGGGTAATGGGTAATGGAAGGATTTTTAGGTACATGCTACAAAAAACCTACATTATTGTGCAGTTCTGGTAAGGACTCAGAAATAAAAGAGGAGAGCTGTAGAGAAAGCCTCAATCTTCTTAGAGAATATTTAAGTAATCTTGAACAGAATGTTGGTAGAAATATGGATGATGAAGGCCATTCTGATGAGGTAGTAGATGCATATGAAGAACATGTTATTGGAAACTGGAGGAAAAGTGATCCTTGTTGTAAAGTTGCAAAGAGCTTGCCTGAGTTGTGTTTATGTTTTAGTGTTTTGTGGAAGGTAGAGTTTTGTGAGCAATAAAATTGGATATTTACCTAAGCAAACTGTTGAAAAGTGTGGGTGGACGAATCCTGACTGCTTATAGTAAAGTGTGAAGAAAGAGAAATGACTTAAAGATGGAATTGTTAAGCAAAAAGGAAACAACACTTAAAGATTTGGAAAATTCTGAGCCAATCCATCTTGTAAAATATGAGAAAGTGTGGTCAGAAGAGAACACTAAGGCGGGGACCAAGAAACCATTTGATAATTAATGTGGATCAACCATTTCAACAGGTGCCTTAAGCTATTCCCTTAGACAATAGAAGTGACTTCAAAGGCAGTTCAGAAATCATCTGGGTTGCCCCTTCTATCATAGACTGAGTACCCGAGTCCTGGTGGAGAGCAATTTCAAAGGAGGAGCTGCCACATCTTAGAGACCTCCTGCTTACTTCCTGATGCTGCCTCATATTGAGGGGGCTCCTCTGGTACACTGCAGTGCTGAGCTCCTTGGCTGCTCAGGTTCAGCTCTGGTAGTCCCTAGTGCAGCAGCTGCTCCTCTGTGGGTGCAGGCAGCAAACTTTGGTGGAATAAGCTGTTTCTGCCAGCCAAGAGTGTGTAGTCCCAGGGGGCATGGCTGCTTCAACCTAGATTTCAAAGGATGGAGGCACCCAAATCCATGGGGACGGGGTTCCTGAAGCCCTGGAGGCCCAAACTCTGTCTCACAAGGTATAGGGGCAGGAATGCTGCCCCAAAGTGTCCTGTAGGCAGGACCTCTGCCTCAGTGGACCTGGAGGTCAGAGAATCAAGTCTAAGAGGAATATTCTCAAGCCTTAAGGTCTAATGGAATTTGCCCTGTTGTGTTTTAGACTTGCTTGGGACCTGTTGTCACTCCTTTCTTTTTTTCTCCTTGTGGGATGGAAATATCTATTCTATGCCTGTCCCATCATTGTGTTTTGGAAGCACATAACTTGTTTGATTTCACAGGTTCACAGTTGGAGAGCAGTTTGCTGCAGGATATATTGTACCTTGAGTCTCACTCACATCTGATTTTGATGATATTTAGATGAGACTTTGAACTTCAGACTTTTGAGTTGATGTTAAAATGAGTTAAGACTTAATGCTGTTGGGAAGGAATTAATATATTTTGAATGTGAAAAGGACATGAGTTTTGGGAGACCTGGGGCAGAATGCTATAGGCTGAATGTTTGTGCTTCCCACCCCCCAAAATTCATGTGTTGAAACCTATTTGGCAGTGGTGTCTTTGGGAGATGAATGGATCATGAGGTTAAAATATCACCTTAGTTCAGTTGCTTTTCCATCCCTATGTGACTTAATTATAGAACTTGTCTCTTTGGATTATGAATATTTGTTTCTTTTTAAAGATACAGTCAGTTATGTTATAATGCGACATGTATTCCTAAAATGCAGTGTGCTCTGCTGCATTTTTCTATAAAAATTTCAGGACTTGTATGAAAAATGAGGTTGGGGCATAAAACTCAAAAACTTTGTGACCTTAAAAAATGGTAAAAACCTAATAAAACAACACATATTAAATGGTAAAGAAATACATAAATGCTGCAATTAATATGACACTTTAAAAAGTCAGTTTGCTTCTGGAAGTGGGTGTTGGAATGATTTCAGCTTGTGAGTTATTTTGAAGTGGTGGAAGAAAAAGTATCTGAAATCAGATGGGAAGTTGTAACACCACATAATCAATGGCTATGGCTCATACCACATGTGGGAAACTGAGGTAGCTGGTAGCTATTTGCTCTATGTATGTTCTCAGTTTGGATTCCAGGCTGAAGGAGTACCCCCTGTCTGGGACATTATGTTTTCATGTTGGAAGGCAGGAGTCTGGGAACTTGAAATACCTCTAAATGACTCTGCTTGGAACCAACACACTAACACTTCTGCTCAAATTCCATTGGCCAAACAGTCATATGGCTTAGACAGTGTTAATCAGATGAGGTGGTCCTTTCAGAGACTGGGAAGAGAGGAGGGAATATTTGCTGAACAATAATGTAGTATACCACAGTTTTCCCTCTTGGTCACAATATTAGTTTTCCCTTATTTGGCATTTAAAATAAAGTTTTCCTTTCCCCAAGGAGTATACCCAATAGTTGTCATCCAATCATAGCATCAGGCTCAAAATCCAGGCTCTCCTGATATTCTCTGTATCATGTCCAGATGTTATACTGCTTGAGTCAGAAATCTGTGAACTGAAGAGCCAGTTTTTCTGATATATCTACAGCCTTGACAAGTTATATGTCAAAGATAGTATATGGGATAATTTTTTGTAGCATGATACAATAAGGTTTAGACAAAATGGCTGTTTAGAATTACCTGTTGAAATCCTCCCACCTCTCTCTGAGCCCTTTGCTAATTACTCTTCCTTGACTAGGTACCTGGTACCTTCCCTTCCCATGCTCTTCATTGTATTTAACTGCAATCAAAACTTAAATTAATAGCCCTTTATTTAGTATGGTTTTGATTATCTGATAAAATATTTTATTATAAGTTATAAATGATAGTTTTAGTATCGAAATATTTGTATTTAGTGAAATATTTTGATCTATAATAATCTCTAATTGTAAAAAATGTTTAGAGGAAATATATACTTTTAAATGACCTTTATTTTTAACTTAGTCCCTAAAGAGTAGAATAGAATATGGAGTTAATGTTACAGCTGTGCACCATGTTGTACAACATTTTTCAGGTAGCTAAAACTTATTGACACTGTGCTAAGTACTTTACATGTGCTATTCAGTACTTACAACAACCCTAGGGTATGTAGGTACTATTGCTATCTTTTTTTTAAAGATAAGAAAATTACCCAAGTCACTCTTATTCTTTAACCTGACCTTAGAATTCCTTTTGGCGGTTTTGGAAGGAGAGTTTTCAGGCCCCTGATTTTTAACATTGAAAATTGTGATTAATCATGTTCAGGCATTCATTCAGCCAAGCCAACACCCAGTGGAGCCATTTAACCCTGAATAATTTGACAAATGAATAAATAGGTTAGCTCTGTTGTGTAAAGAGAGTAAAAGAAAAAAAAAGGTTCTAAAATGATGTTGGAAACCATTGTCAACTCTACTTTGATGAGGAAAAAATAACGAAGATCTCATTAGGGTAGGATTAATTTTTTAATGCTGCCTATTTAGAAGCAGCATTTCTAATGTTTTGAATAACTTTTAAAGAGATTTGAAGACTATCTTTTATATTTATCAGCATAAGTACAATTTTCAGCAGTCTTTATTCCTTTATGTGAATTCAGATGTCCATTTGGCATCATTCTTCTTTTGAAGAACTTCTTTTAGTTTTAGTTTTAGTCTTAATTTTTTGTAGTTCCGGTCTGCTGGATATAAATTATCTCAACGTTTGCTTGGTTGAAACTTTTTACCATTATTTTTGCAAGACATTTTAGCTGATTATGTGAAATGTCTACAGTGTTTTCTTTCAGTACTTCTTTCACTGTTTCTGGCTTGAGTTGTTTCAGATGAGGAATAAGCTACCATTCTTATCTTTGTTTCTTTGTATTTAATGTGTCTTTTTTCTCTGATGGTTTTTGTGATTTTCTTTTTATCTTGTTTTTGGACATTTGATTATGATGTACTTTGATGCAGATTTCTTTCTTGTGGTTTGTTGAGCCTCTTGGATCTATGAGTTTATAAATTTCATTACATTTATGTACTCCTTTTTTGTTCCTCATCTTCTGAACCTCATTAGTTAGATCTTATTTTTCTCTCAAAGGTACTTTTATTCAAAATCAACATAGCTGGTCAGAGAAAAAATGAAAAAGGTTTCAGTTTAAAATAATGGTCTGAATCATACATATGCCTATGTTTTCTCATAAAACTCAACTGTGATGTCAGCTAAGGGATGACTAAGTATATGTACCCATAAAATCAAACAAGAATTAGATGTAAGTGAGAAAATAAAAAATTGAACAAAATTCTGAAACACAGAAAATAAATGAAAGCATGTCAATGAATGAAGCAAAGTTAAGACCAGTTGTATTTTCTAAAAGTGATCACAGCAGTATTTTCAATTTTAGATGCCATTCCCAAACTTTGCTGTTCCCCCATAAAATGGTGATCTCTTTCCCCTG